TGTTGATTAACCAATTATCTTCCTAGGTGCAAGTGTAAAATTCGCTACTGTAAATTGCTATTTTTGCATATTTTATTCAGTGCGGTATTTAAAGCAAATAAAATCACAGTCAAATAACCAATTTAATTAAACCAAAAACAAAAGAAAATGAACAAATAAAAAAGAACTGCAACAACAACAACAACAACAACAATGATATCGTATATATGGCAACACTAACAAAAGTGAAATTAATAATGAGGGGAACAGAGATTGTGTGTCGGAATATCGGAACGGCGGCATGGACCAAGCAATAAATGCGACAAACTGACAAAAAATCTGCTGCATATATAAATTATTTTGTAATATTTGTTTACGCAACAAAGTTGACATGCCTTAATACATAAAGTGGCACGTTTCGAAAAATTCTTCCTGGAAACAAGACGAAGTGTGCTGTGCAGTAACAGAGGCAGCAACAGCGGCGAACTTTCTGCTGCATTGGTGGCTAATTCCCCATTTCATATAAAACAAATCACATATTTAGGAGAAATTTATGAAATTCTTGTTATAATTTTCAGCAGATAATATTTTTATTCTTTATTTATTATTTTCATTTCATATTTTTCCAGCGGCAGTTGTTTTATTTTTCAACAAATTATTGAAAAAATTGTACTGAAAACAAGGCAAGAAAACTGTGTATATGTGTATATGTGTATGTTTATATTTGTAATTTATAAGCAGCATTGGTGTCAGAAGATATAAATTTAAAATAAAGCATAACACCGTGGGCCAAGCTGAAATAAATTTGTCAACAAAATATGCAGTACCAGTACCAGAATCAGCACCAGCGATGGCGATGGCGACATGAGCAGCCGCTGCAGCAGTAGTAGTGACGCAAAGGACGCTGAATTTATTAAAAAGCAGAGCACGAAGGCACAAAAATGGCAGACGATATGGTAAAGCAAGAGGTGCAGTGTAGGGCTGTATGGTATGCAAGGCATTAATATTTACGAATAGGAGCGGTAAGTTGACTAAAAGACGTTAGAGGAACTCCATACGTGAAGCACACATTTCCTATTATAACAACAAAGCAAATGTTTAGTGGTGGAAACTTTCTGCATTATACCAAACAAGCAAACGGGAGGGCGATGTGCAGAAAGAAGCGTATGATCATTGGCGCAAAGTCATCGGTATAAAATTTAATTTGTTTTAAAACAAATTAAAAGTTGAACTGTTGAAATTATGTTCTTAATAATTTATGTGCTGACAATAATAACAAAAGGAATTTTTCGTCCAATTCATATTAAACATTTTCTTAGCACAAAAATAATCTATAGAAAATTATTTTGAATACATTCGTGCCACTGGTCGTGTTTTTAATACCACACACACACTGCCTCACACAGTGGCACACATCTTATTTTAGTATAAATAATGATGACAGATTCTTATTTATTTTTACTAATTAATATTTTTTTGTTTTTGAACGCTTCCTTCGTTTTGTTGAAAATATTTTGTATTGTTTTATTTTGCTTTTTTATGGTATGATAAATGTTTTATTGGCTTTATTAGTAAACATTTAATATGAGGAGGGCGTAACCCATTTGACAGAGTGTACAAAGTCACGCGAAACCACAGAAGCCGCAAAGCAACACAAGTTGAAATGACAAAAACATTCACACAACAAGCACACAAATACGTATGTATGTATATTGTATATCGTATACATGCAATGGTGTATGCCACCTACAATATAACAAATATGTATACTACAGCAGTGCAAATCCAATTCACACGTATGTATGCTGCTGTGGTTTTGTTGTTCAATAGCAATCGGCTGGTTAGAAGTAGGGTCAAAGGTGGGGTTCGGTGTTAGTTTTAGTCATTGGCATTTTGTAAAAGAAAATTTTCTCTTTGCATGCAAGTTGATGAATCAATTGATTTTGTCAAGTGACAAAGTTGTTGGTTTAAACCACACGAACAAAACAACAAAAAAACAAAAAGCGAAATTAAAGAATAAAGAGTGCTAGGATAATGGCAAAAACTGAGGATTGATTTAATGGAAGTGTCAATTGCCTTGTGGTGAGTTTTAACGAGGTAGCTTTGAGATATTGTAGAAAAGTGCCATAGAATAACCGCGTAGTGGTTTTAGTAGAAAGAGGTTTAGACGTCAAAGAAAATTGAAAATTTAAATTAGTAAACGAAATGACAGGGGAAAAATGTGATAACTTAATAATAATAAGTTTAAATATATCTATTTATAGATGACAATCTTTTCAAATATAGAATATGATTTATAATTATTTTGATTGACTTTGTTACTAAAAATTCTTTAACTTTAATTATGTTGTCGTCATGTTTGGTGCACACCTATAAAATATTTTACAACATATAAAAATCTAATAATAATTAAGTGCATTATTAATTTATTTACATTTTTTAAATTTTTTTACCTCTTTATGTAAATATAACAAGTTTCTATTAAAATTATAATAGTCACTTCCGTCTGGAAAATTTGACGTTAAATTACAACTTATTCACAAAAATATGGTTCTCGCCAATAAATATTGGTTCTCGCCCGTGCGACTAGTGGAGTAACATTAGCATGACTTTCTCAGCATTACGTTCGTAGATTAGGTTCAATACATAAGAAAAAACAAATCATGCAACAAATAATGCCTCTACGAATAGAATAGTTTTGAAATTTAACAATTAAAAATAAAAAATATAATTAATTAATTAATTCAATTATTCTACAGCTGGTTTATGATTTCAAGTACGGCTTTGGATCAGTTGGTTAAGGTGCGCTGATTCTGAGCTTCATATTTGGCAGGACCCGAGTTCGATTCCTGGTACTTGCAGTCTCAAAATAATTATTTACGAATAATTAAATATAAGAATTATTTCCAAGACCACTGATGAAGGGTATTTCGCAATACTCGAAACAGCCAAAAATTCAATTAATTAAAATAATTTAAAAAATAAATTTTTGTTGTTGTTTCACTTCTGTTCGAAAACCTCTTTATGTAAATTTTTTTATTAAATTAGATAAATAAAAGAATATAGTTACTAACTATGTTTTTCAATAACAATCACTTACACATTGTGTCAATCATATAAAAGTGTAATAAAAGAACTACTAAGTACGAAAGATAACATTCTTCAGAATCTTACAGACCTTATTCATATCTTACAGATGTAGTTCAAACAGAAAATATGAACTCTACTTGTTTATTTTGGTCATTTGAAATTGATTCAGTTTTGGCAAACATCTCTAAAGAGTTATTGGTACAGCTGCGAGCTCCTATTCCGTTACCCTTATCTACACGCCATTGAAGAATGGTTTAGACAAATCTCCTACTATCATTATTGGAAAACTGGGGCAAAATGAAAATAAGCAACTTGTGCCGTTTTTATTTTTTAATTTATATTCTTTTTCGTTGTTTTTGGCAAATATTAGATATAATGTTTCTTTCCCCTTTTGGTGGATTTTACTAGACATACCTTTTAAGTACAGTTGTAAGTAAGTTGTAGGAGAGGAGAAGACAGCTGTGTTCATAAATAAAATTCTTGTCACTTTTTAAAAGGAAAAAAGTGAAAGGACAACCTTTAAATTTTTTTCGGTTTTTTTTCGATTTTGCAAAAAGGATCATATTCGCAGTAATGCAAGCACACTTTAAAAATTTAAACAGAAGATGTAAAAAAAATAGGTGCATAGTTTTAATACTAAAATTTGTTGGATTTAAAATTCGAACAGGATACACGCGGGAAATAAATGTAAAAGTATAAAACACTTGCCAATTGCAATTTAATTG